GGGGGGTAAAAACATTCACTTTCATCACCACATGGCCGTCACCAGCAAAGTTTCTTTTTTTCTTTTCTTTTTTTTTTAAGACGGAGTTTCACCATATTGGTTAGCCTGGTCTGGAATTCCGACCTCAGGTGATCCGCCCACCTTGGCCTCCACCTTGCTTGGATTACAGGCGTGAGCCACCACGCCTGGCCTCTTTTTTTTTTTTTTTTTTTTGAGACAGAGTCTTGCTCCTTTGCTCCTGCTGGAGTGCAGTGCCATGATCTGGGCTCACTGCAACTCTACCTCCTGGGTTCAAGCGAGTTTCCTGCTTCAGCCTCCCAAATAGCTGGGATTACAGGCACCTGCCACTATGCCCAGCTAATTTTTGTATTAATAGTAGAGACAGGCTTCACCATGTTGGCCAGGCTGGTCTCGAACTCCTGACTGAACTCCAGGTGATCCACCTGCCTTGGCCTCTCAAACTGCTAGGATTACAGGTGTGAGCCACAGCGCCTGGCCCAGCCAACAAAGTTTCTATCTACTTCTAGGTACTTGCCTAATTCTTCTCTACTAGAAAGAACAAACCAGCAAAGGCATCTACCCTGGTTCGTTTTTATAACTCCTATAGTGGGAGCTAAATCCCCCAAACACTGTAAATAACTGTTTCATACTTATGAACCATTGCTTTTAAAAAAGTCAAGTACATATTGTTAAGATTTCCCCTCATCATCAATTTCTGAATAGGTTGCTTGCTCAAAGAAGCCTCTCATTGTTTCTGGGATGTAAACTGATAGCTGATAGTGCTTTATGTTACTCATTTTACCTTAACACAAAAACTCTGCATTCCTAGGCCAGGATTGTGTGCGCATGTATAATGCAACACCTCCTCTGTCTCCGGCTTACCTTTCCTAAGATCGGACAACCTTTCAGTCCCACTATATTCTGGGTCAACTCCTTCTCATTTCCAATGTACCTGAACTCACTGGGTTATCAAAACATTTCAGGTACTCATGGACTTTTCTCAGTGCTAACTTCTTTTTCTGGTTTGTTTTGTGGAGGCAGGGTCTCTCTCTGTCATCTAGGCTGGAGTGCAGTGGCATAATCACGGCTCACTGCAGCCTTGAACTCCTGAGCTCAAGCAGTACTCCCATCTAAGCCTCTAGAATTACTGGGACTACAGGCGCGCACCACCACACTCAGATGATTATTTTTATTTTTTTTAAACGGATGGGGGTCTCACTATGTTGCCCAGGCTGGTCTCTACCACCTGGCCTCAAGTGAGCCTCCCACCTCCACATCCCAAAGCTCTAGGATTACAGGCATGAGCCACCTTGCCTGGCCAACCTCTGGACCAACATAAACTTACTTCACTTACTCCATAGCCATCTGAGAATGGCTGTTATTTATTTTATTTATTTATTGAGATGGAGTCTCGGCTGGGCGCAGTGGCTAATGCCTGTAATCCAAGCACTTTGGAGGCCAAGGCGGGCAGATCACCTGAGGTCAGGAGTTCAAGACCAGCCTGACCAACATGGTGAAACCCTGTCTTAAAAAAATAAATAAATAAAAAATAAAATACAAAAAGAGATGGAGTCTCACACTGTCACCCAGGCTGTAGTGCAGTGGCACGATCTCAGCTCACTGCAATCTCCATCTCCTGGGTTCAAGCAATTCTCCTGCCTTAACCTTCTGAGTAGCTGGGACTGCAGGAGTACGACACCACGCCCAGCTATTTTTTTTTTTTTCGTATTTTTAGTAGAGACGGGGTTTCACCATGTTGGCCAGGATGGTCTCGATTTCCTGACCTTGTGATCCACCTGCCTTGGCCTCCCAAAGTGCTGGGATTACAGGTGTGAGCCACTGCGCCCAGCCTATTTATAAGAGATGGGGTCTCACTATATTGTCCAGGCTGGAGCACAATGGGTATTTACACGTGTGATCATACTGCACTACAGCCCAGAATACCTGGCCTCAAGCAATCCTCCTCCCTCAGCCTCCCAAGTAGCTGGGACTACAGAGGTATATGAATAGGTGGTCACACATGCTTCATCATACCGTCTTCCCTTTGGAATTCAGGCACAGCTAACCAGCACTAACACTAAAACAGTACACTGGTTCCATCTTGGCTCACTGCAACCGCTGCTTCCCGGCCTCAGGCAATCCTCCCACCTCAGCCTCCCAAGTAGCTGGGACCATAGGCACGTGCCACCATGTCTGGCTAATTTTTGTATTTTTTTGTAGAGACAGGGTCTCACCGTGTTGCCCAGGCTGGTCTTGAAGTCCTGGACTCAAGGTCTCCCAAAGTGTTGGGATTACAGGTGTGAGCCACTGCCCAGCTAGAACAGATTCTTTGTAGCAATAAGATACCAACATGACAGATAGCACACCCTGAGGGAAATCAAAGATAAAACAGGTTGTTTTGACTTTTTTTTTTTTGAGACAGAGTTTCGCTCTTGTTGCCCAGGCTGGAGTGCAATGGTGTGATCGTGGCTCACTGTAACCTCCGCCTCCTGGGTTCAAGTGATTCTCCTGCCTCAGCCTCCCGAGTAGCTGTAGTAGTTTGTATTTTTAGTAGAGACGGGGTTTCTTCATGTTTATTAGGCTGGTCTAGAACTCCAGACCTCAGGTGATCTGCTTGCCTTGGCCTCCCAAAGAGCTGGGATTACAGGCATGAGCCACCGTGCCTGCCCTGTTTTAACATATTTTTAAATGGCCCAGCAAAGCTGTCTGTAATCTGATAAGAAACATTTGCGATCTATTCTCTCCAAAGCCTGCTACCTGGAGGATTAATCTACAGAATATCCTTGGTCTCTACAATCCCTTATCCTAACCCAGACAACTCCCTTATGTGGATTCCAGGGCTTTAGATAAACTGTCAACCAATTGCCAAGCAGAAAAATCTGTGAATTCACTTGGGACCTGGTAAGTCCAAACCAATGCACATCTTACATGTATTAACTGATGTCTTATGTCTCCCTAAAATGTATAAAACCAAGCTGTAGCCCGAACACCTTGGGCACGTTCTCAGGATCTCCTGGAGCTGTATCACAAGCCACGGTCACTCACATTTGGTTCAAAATTAAATCTCTTCGAATATTCTAGAGTTTGACTCTTTTCGTCTACATCCCTTTCACATTATAAAAGTTTTCATAGCCAGGCCTCCCAGGTCTGTGGCGGAGTCCCCACTCATCCTGGTCTGCGTATTAGACCCTAGCTTTCACGAAGTGACTCGTGAATAAGAGGTTCTGCCCCTTCGCTCATGAGGCTGGATTATAAACCAGAACGTAGTTCTCTAAAAGGCACAATGGAATTTCTACTTTTCTAGTAATTATGTCAGTGGGAGGCCTCTCTGGAGCTCAATAAACTCCTCCTGCCCCCATGCAGTCTCTCTTCTAGTCAGCACTGAATAAAGTCTGTCCAACTCCATAGCATTAATTTTCATATTTATTTATTAAAAAATGTCTGTCGCCCAGGCTGGAGTGCAGTGGCGTGATCTCGGCTTACTGCAACCTCTGCGACCGAGATTCAAAAGATTCTGCAGCCTCAGCCTCCCGAGTAGCTGGGATTACAGGCGCGCGCCACCACGCCCGGCTAATTTTTGTACTTTTAGTAGAGACAGGGTTTCGCCATGTTTGCCAGGCTGGTCTCGCACTCCTGACCTCAAATGATCCACCCGCCTCAGCCTCCCAAAGTACTGGGATTACAGGCACGAGCCACCGAGCGCCCGGCCTTCACCCATTATTTGTCAGGAAATTTCTGGCCAGCCTAATATTTGCAGGTGTTGACGTAACTAAAAAACTTCTGTCTTATCCTGAAGAAATGCTCTTGCACGACTGAACTAGCTTCACAGGCACAATTCTGCACCGTTTCACTGCTTCACCATAGCCAGCCCTGAAAGGCCTCAAGCGCCGGTTTCCTCTCTTTGGTCGCACCAGCCAAAGCCAGAACTTCGCACAAGGCTGGGGAAAAGGCCGCCGGAAAGCCTCTCCTCCGCGCCCAGCGCCACTGCCGCCTTCGCGGAGAGCTTTGCGGAAGCGCGCTTGGGTCCCGTCACATGCCTGCGACGTAATCTGCCAATGGGCAGCAGCGCTTGCTCACGTGACACGTGCAGGCCAATGCCTGGCGCTCGTGCACTAGGCTCCTGGTTGCTAGGCGACCTCAGCCCGATTATGGCGGCTGTAGTTTATCCTTCTTACGTAGCTCTGCGAGGTGCGGACGGCTTGGATCCCCTCCAGCGCCTGCGAGGGCTTCTCCTGGCTGCCGCTTGCGCTCTGGCGAATGTCCGGAGTGGCAGCCCCCTTCGAGGCTTGCACGAGGGCGTCCTGGCATCCGCGGTCAAGCGGGCCCTGCTGCTTCTGGGGCTGACCCTGTGGCTGGCGAGGCCCGGTCCACTCAAGGACGCCCTGCTTTGGCTTGCTCAGCCCAGGAGAACCCGGGTCGACCCTGTGTCGGGCAGGGGTGTGGCTGAGGCAGTGGTGGGCAGGGAAACTAGTGCCTGCCTGGTGGTAGTCCCAGGCATGGAGCTTCCTGCAGACCTTGTGGCTTACTTCAGGTTTTGTTGCTTTGGCCACCGAGGAGGAATGCTTGCCCCAAGTGGTTACTGTCTTGAATAGTTGTTGAGTGAAAGGTAATGTGTTTCCATTAAATGTATATACGTGTATGTATATGTGTGTGTGTATATATAATATATATTCCCATAAATGAAAAGACTTAAATATTATTTTGGGTGGAGGGGGGGTGTTAATGTATTTTGCATAAAAAAAAAAATTCCCGTTGGCCGGACTCAGTGGTTCACGCGTCTAATCCTAGCATTTTGGGAGGCCGAGGCTGTCGGATCACCTGACGTCAAGAGGTCAAGACCAGCCCAGCCAACATGGTGAAACCCCGTCCCTACAAAAATAGAAAAATTAGCTGGGCATAATGGTGGGTGCCTGTAATCCCAGCTACTCAGGAGGCTGAGGCGGGAGAATCACTTCAACCCAGTAGGCAGAGGGTACAGTAAGCCGAGATGGCGCCATTGCACTCCAGCCTGGGCCACAGAGTGAGACCCCGTGTCAAACAAACAAACAAACAAAAAATCCCGTCTTTGGGATATCTAATAACACTGGCAATCTTTTTGCTCTTCAGGATTTTCAGTCTGGAAATCGTTGTGGAGTGCCTGGGACTTGTATGTAGCTCACTGTTTATTAGAGGGTTTGGTATTTCACGTGTACTTAATTTATATTTGAATTGGATTTTACTTACTTTTCTAATCAGCAGTCTGTGAACTAAAGTGAACAAACAGGTTTCAGTGCCCTTTGTTTTCAGACATAAGGAAACTTGACCGGAGAAATTACAGTCATGCGATGTTTAACAGAGATAGGAGAAATGCATCTTAGGTGACTCTATTGTTCATTGGAATATCGTAGAGTGTACTTTTTTTTTTGAGACAGGGTTTTGCTGTGTCACCCAGGCTTCAGTGCAGTGATGCCATCACAGCTCACTGCAGCCTCAACCTGCTGTGATCCTTCTGCCTCAACCTCCTGAGTAGCTGGGATTTACAGGCATGCATCACCATGCCAGGCTAATTTTTTAAAAATTGTTATATATTTTTTGTATATTTTAATTTTCTTTTTATAGAAAAAGGGCCTTGCTATGTTGCTTAGGCTGGTCTTGAACTCCTGGTCTCAAGCAGTCTGCTCTGCCTGCCTCAGCCTCCCAAAGTGCTAGGATCACAGGTGTGAGCTACTATGCCCAGACCACACCGGCTGATTTAAAATTTTTCTATATAGACAGGGTTTCTCCCTCTGTTGCCCAGTCTGGTCTCCAACTCCTGGGCTCAACCAGTTTTCCTGCCTTGGCCTCCTGAAGTGCTGGAATTACAGGCATGAGCCACTAAGCCCTGCCCATAGAGTGTACTTATGCAAACCTAGATGGCATAGCCTATTACATACCTAGGCTATATGGTACAGCCTGTTGCTCTTAGGCTGCAAATCTCTACAGCATGTTACTGTACTAAATACTGTAGGCAATCGTTTTTGTTTGTTTGAGACGAAGTCTCACTCTTGTTGCCCAGGCTGGAGTGCAGTGGCATGGTCTCGGCTCACTGCAACCTCCGCCTTCTGGGTTCAAGCAATTCTCGTAGCTGGGATTACAGGCCCCTGCCACCAAGCCCTGCAACCCAGCCTGGGTGACGAGAGCTAACTTTTTTTTTGTATTTTTAGTAGAGATGGGGTTTCGCCATGTTGGCCAGGCTGGTCTGGAACTCCTAACCTCAGGCGATCTGCCCACCTTGGTCTCCCAAAGTGCTAGGAATATAAGTGTGAGCCACTGCACCCGAAAGTGTTAGGATTTTTTTTTCCTTTTTTAAAAAAATTTATTTTATAACTTTTTTTTAAAGACGGGGTTTCGCCATATTGGTCAGGCTGGTCTTGAACTTCTGACCTCAGGTGATCTGCCCGCCTCAGCCTCCCAAAGTGCTAGGATTACAGGCGTGAGCCACCACGCCCGGCAAGTGTTAAGATTATAGATGTGAACCACTGCACCCGGCTGCTGTAGGCAGTTGTAACACAATGGTTAGTATTTTTGTATCTAAACATAGAAAAGGTACAATAGGCTGGGTGCGGTGGCTCACACCTATAATCCAAGCACTTTGGAGGCCAAGGTGGGCGGATCACCTGAGGTCGGGAGTACAAGACCAGACTGACCAACATGGTGAAAACCCGTCTTTATTTAGAAAAAAAAAAAAAAAAAAAAAAAAAAGGTACAATAAAAATATAGTATTGTAATCTGATGGGACCACTGTCATATATGCAGTCTGTTGTTGACTCAAGGCTATGTGACTTGACTGTGCTCAATGTATTGCATGGAGAGAGTCAGTGCTTCTCAAACATGAGTGTGTGTAGTAACCACTTAGGGATCTTGTTAAACGGCATATTTGGATTCATTAGGTCTGGAGTAGGTCCTGAGAATTTCTGCACTTCTGACAAGCTCCCAGGTGTAGATGATTCTGCCGATCTGATGCGTGCCTCAAATAGCAGTAGCCCTAAGTGACACGGTTAATAGCACAGTTGCTTCCTTTCCATATTTGATTCTTATGCCCAAACAAATTCTTAACATTTATGAAATTTCAGTTACATATGAAGAGAAAGTCATAGGATGGAAATGACAAATAGTGTTACCTAGATATAACTTTTTTTTTTTTTTTTTTGAAAAGAGTTTTTCTTGTTACCCAGGCTGGAGTGCAATGGCGCGATCTCGGCTCACCGCAACCTCCGCCTCCTAGGTTCAGGCAATTCTCCTGCCTCAGCCTCCTGAGTAGCTGGGATTACAGGCACGCGCCACCATGCCCAGCTAATTTTTTGTATTTTTAGTAGAGACGGGGTTTCACCATGTTGACCAGGATGGTCTCGATCTCTTGACCTCGTGATCCACCCGCCTTGGCCTCCCAAAGTGCTGGGATTACAGGCTTGAGCCACCGCGCCCGGCCCCTAGATAGAACTTTTATAGAGGATTCATTTTGCTGATTTTATTATTTGACAATCTCTAATTCACAATATTAGAAATAATGGTTTTAAAAGTCTCAAGCTGGCCAGGTGCAGTAACTTGCACCTGTAATCTCAGCACTTTGGGAGGCCACAGCTGGCAGATCACTTGAGGTCAGGAGTTCGAGACCAGCCTGGCCAACATGGTGAAACCCGTCTCTACCAAAAATACAAAAATTAGCCAGGCATGGTGTAACCAGCCTGTAATCCTAGCACTTTGGGAGGTTGAGACAGGAGGATCACTTGAGCCTAGTCTGGGAAATATAGTGAGACTTAATCTCTACAGAGACTGTAAAGAATTAGCTAAAGATCATTAAATCAGTTATGATTCCTTAATGAGTAAATTAAAAAAAAGAATTAGCAAAAGAATTAGCAGGGCATGGTGACATGCTCCTGTACTCCCAGTTTCTCGGGGGGTTCAGGCAGGAGAGTCACTTGAGCCCAGGATGTCAAGGCTGCAGTAAGCCGTGATCGTGTCACTGCTCTCCACCCCAGGGTGACAGCAAGAAAGGTTTTATTCAAATAGAGAGGTGAAATTCTCCCTGACATTGAAGTTCATACTTAACTTAGAGGACCCATACATCTGTAGTTGACTCATGCTGACTGGCCAAGTATCCCTAGCCCTTTGGTTCTTCAAAAAGTTTCATCGGATGAGTTCACCCCTACTGTTCTTTTATTTTTATTTCAGACATGTGGCCTTGCTCTGTGGCCCTACTGGAATGCAGTGGCACGATCACAGCTCACTGCAGCCCTCAACTCCTAAGCTCAAGTGATCCTCCCACCTCAGCCTCCTGAGTAGCTAGGACTGTGGGCGAGCGCACCATGCCGAGCTAATTTTTGCATTTTTTGTAGAGACAGGGTTTTACTATGTTGCCCAGACTGGTCTTGAACTCCTGGGCTCAATCAATCTGCTTACCTTGGCCTCCCAAAATGCTGGGATTATAGATGTGAGCCACTGCAACGGCCAGAGGTCACCCCTACTGTTCTGAATACAAAGACTAAGCAGTGAAGACTAGCCAATATTTGCTCTATTTACAAGAGAAGAAATTTCAGATGACTTAAGAAAAATTAGACATCCAGGAATGCAGCACAGTGATTAATAGAACTGACAGGGTTTCATTTATGTAAAAGCTTATGTAAAGTATTTTATTACCATTAGAAAACATTTTAATGGCTTGGGAAGGTAGCTCATGCCTGTAATCCCAGCACTTTGGGAGGCTGAGGTGGACAGATCACTTTGAGACCAGCCTGGCCAACATGGTGAAACCCTGTCTCTACTAAAAATACAAAAATCAACTGTGTGTGGTGGTGCGTGCCTGTAATCCCAGCTCCTCAGGAACCTGAGGCAGGAGGATCTCTTGAACCCGGGAGGTGGAGGTTGCAGTGAGCTGGGTGACAGAGTAAGACTCCGTCTCAAAAAAAAAAAAAAAAAAAAAAGCAAAGACAAGATTTGAAGGTTGTACTGTATCTAAATCAAAGATCTTTGACTTAGATACAGTATTGTGATTTTCTTTTTTTGAGACGAAGTCCTGCTCTTTCGCCCAGGGTGGAATGCAGTGGTGAAATTTTGGCTTACTGCAACCTTTGCCCCCTGGATTCAAGGGATTTACTCGCCTCAGCCTCCTGAGTGACTGGGCTTATCGGCATGCCCCACCACACCTGGCTAATTTTTATATCTTTAATAGAGATGGGGTTTCACCATGTTGACCAGGCTGGTCTCAAACTCCTGACCTAAGATGATCCACTCGCTTCGGCCTCCCAAAATTCCGGGATTGCAGGCATGAGCTACCATGCCCAGCCATTTATTAATTTTTGATAGCTTCTCTTGCTATTTCTTAAAGTTTACTAATTTTTTAGCAGCGTTTAATATATAGTTAATTCTGTCCTTGGTGATTTTCATTTCAGACATTACAGTTTTCATCTCTAGAAGTTCAATTATATTTTTTGCATCTCCCATGTATCTCCCTAACAGTTTGAACCTATGGAATCTAGTCATGGCAACTGTTTTAATGTCTTTGACGCGAATTCCAACATCTGTGTCACTTCTGGGTCAGCTTTATTTTATTTTATTTATTTTTTTTGAGACAGAGTTTCGCTCTTGTTACCCAGGCTGGAGTGCAATGGCACGATCTCGGCTCACCGCAACTTCCACCTCCTGGGTTCAGGCAATTCTCCTGCCTCAGCCTCCTTAGTAGCTGGGATTACAGGCACGCGCCACCATGCCCAGCTAATTTTTTGTAGTTTTAGTAGAGACGGGGTTTCACCATGTTGACCAGGATGGTCTCGATCTCTTGACCTCGTGATCCACCCGCCTCGGCCTCCCAAAGTGCTGGGATTACAGGCGTGAGCCACCGCGCCCGGCCTGGGTCAGCTTTATTAATGACTGACTTGTCCCCTCATCATGGGTCATATTTTCTCATCTCTCTATATGCCAGGTAATTTTTGATTATATGCCAGATATTATGAATTTAACTTGTTTGGTGCTAGATGTTTTTATATTGCTATAAATCCCCTTGAGCATTGTTGTGGGGGGGCACAGTTAAGTTACAAAAAAAAGTTTGATCCTTTTGGGTCTTGCTTTTAAGATTTGCTAGGAAGGGCAGGGTGCAGTGGCTGATGCCTGTAATCCCAACACTTTGGGAGGCCGTGGTGGGCAGATCACCTGAGGTCAGGAGTTCGAGACCATCACATGTTGAAACCCCATGTCTACTAAAAGTACAAAAATTACCTGGGAATGGTGGCAGGCACCTGTAACCCTAGCTACTCAGGAGGCTGAGGCAGGAGAATCACTTGAATCCAGGAGGTGGAGGTTGCAATGAGCTGGGATCATGCCACCGCTCTTCAGCCTGGGCGACAGAGTGAGACTCTGTTTCAAAAAAAAAAAAGATTTATTAGGCAGGACCAGAGCAATGCCAACTTTAAGGCTAATTATTCCCCTGAGGCAAGACCTTCATAAGTACTCTTTCCAATGCCCCATAAATTATGAGTTTTTCCAATCGGGATCATAGGAGTAGGCACTGTTCCCTCTAATCCAGTGGTCCCCAGTCTCCAGGCCTTGGACTAGTACCAGTTGGTGGCCTGATAGGAACTGGGCCGCACAGCAGGAGGTGGGTGGCAGGTGAGTGAGCATTACTGCCTGGGCCCTGTCTCCTGTCGGATCAGCTGCAGCATTCAGTTCTCATAGGAGCACAAACCCTATTGTGAACTGTGCACTTGAAGGATCTAGGTTGCCCACGCCTTACGAGAATCGAACGAATGGCTGATGAACTGAGGTGGAAGAGTTTCATTCCGAAACTCCAAAAAGGTTAGGAACCACTGCTGTAATCCTTTTACATGGTTCTTTCTCCAGCCTTGTGTAGTTTTCTTACACTTGTATCCTCAGCAGTACTCTGCTAAATGCTAGAGGGGGACCCTTGACAGATCTCTGGGGTACTGTCTGAACAGCTCCCTTTCTCTGGTACTCTGTCCTTTCAGTCTGGCTGCTTGGTGTCCCTGGACTCAGCTCTGTCTCCTGGGGGATTCCACCAGGCCCTTCCTTACTGTGCCCTTCCTGCACTAGAGCCTGGAAACTCTCAAGGCAGTAAGTTGGAGCAATAATAGGGCTCACCTCATTTGTTGTCCTTTTTTTCAGGGATTACTGTCCTTTGTGGCCTGATATTCAGTGTCTTGAAAACTATTTCTTACATTTTTTGGGGTCTATATTTTGGTTATTTACATGGGAAAGTAAATCCAGTCCCTGTTTATCTTCACTTCTGGAAGTGGAGGTCCAAATATCACACCCACCTGGTACACGTTTACCACCCCAAACCACTGAATATGGAAACTGTTTTAAGTGAGGTTGTATACTATTGAACTCACATCCGGTTACTTCCAGGGGAAGACAGCTGTTATCCTGCCTTGGTATCCCTGACAGACTTAACCAGTGCCTGGCACTTGGCTTGGCATTCACTGAACGCTGGAGAGCATGAATAAACTATTTTGAGCAAACAGCTGTTGATCAGCTTATGGTGTTTTCTTTCATTTGTTGATGGGCTTTTGCAATTTTCTTTTTGCCTGCCAGCAGCAAAAGGAAGCCAGGCAAAATGGACATTTCTGGGACTTGTTACTCATGATTGTAATTATGTACAAAAATGCACCCTTTAAAAAGCTTTTTTTATAGGCACGAGGGAACTTTTGGGGGTGATAGAAATGTCCTAAAACTGAGTTCTGATGGTTGCACAAGGTTACTAAAAATCATCAAATTGTACACTTAAAACATGGGTGAATTTTGTGGTATGTAAATTACACCTAAAAAAGCTTTTTAAAAAAGCTTATCTGAAAGATTTCCAGGCATTTTAAGGTGAAAAAAGGACATTGCCAACCAATTTGTACAGGAGAAATCCAGTTAAGGGCTGGGCGAGGTGGCTCATGCCTATAATCCTAGCACTTTGGGAGGCCAAGGCAGGTGGATCACCTGACGTCAGGAGTGCAAGGCCAGCCTGGCCAACATGGTGAAACCCCGTCTCTACTAAAAATACAAAAAAATTAGCTGGGTGTGCTGGCGGGCACCTGTAATTCCAGCTACTTGGGAGGCCGAGGCAGGAGAATCACTTGAACCTGGGAGGCAGAGGTTGCAGTGGAACCGAGATTGTGCCACTGCACTCCAGCCTGGGGACAGAGTGAGACTCCATCTCAAGACAACAACAACAATAAAAAAGTGAAGTTAATTTGGCTGGCAATTCTGCTGCCTGGAAGATTGAGACTCTGGTGAAAGCTTCAGGCTGCTTCCACTCATGGCAAAAGGCAGAATTGAGCCAACGTGTTGTGTGCAGAGATCAGGTAGCAAGAGACAGCGGAGGTGCCAAGTTATTTTTAACAACCAGCTCTTGTGGAAAGGAACAGAGTGAGAACTCGCTGCCCTCTTCCCCTCAACAAGGCACTGCTTATTCCTGAGGGACCTACCCCCATGACCCAGACACCTACCATTAGGGAGTAAAAGTTCAACTTGAGATTTGGAGGGAATAAACATCCAAACTTTAGCAGTGTCTTACAATTTAGCTCAATTCTGACACTACCTGGAAATAGCATCAGGTCCCACAGGTTACTGGCTTATTCCCGTAAGACTGATCCACTTCAGATACCAGGTGCTAGTCCCAGGTTGTCACCCATACTTCTTGCAGACTTGCTGTAAATTAGAAGTCCCCACCATCCCCTCCTCCTCGGGTTTGATCATCTGCTAGGACAGCTCACAGAACTCAGAATGGTTTAACCAGATTACCATTTATTATGAAAGAATACAATGTAGGAACAGCCAGTGGAAGAGCTGCACAGGGCAAGGAGCATGGGAAAGGATGTGGAGCTTCCATGCCCTCTTCAGGAATGCCACCTCCCCAAACCTCCATAAGTTCACCACCTGGAAGCTCTTTGAACCCTATTCTATTGGGATTTGATGAAGGTTTCATTACATAAGCATGATTAATTAAATGACTGGTCATTGAGCTGAGTGTCTCGGCACTTCAGGAGGCTGAGGTGGAAGAATTCCTTGAATTCAGGAGTTCAAGACCACCTTGAGCAACATAGGGAGACCCTCATCTCTACTAAAAATTTAAAAAAGTTGCCGGGCACGGTAGCTCAAGCCTGTAATCCCAGCACTTTGGGAGGCTGAGGCGGGTGGATCACGAGGTCAAGAGATCGAGACCATCCTGGTCAACATGGTGAAACCCTGTCTCTACTAAAAAAAATACAAAAAATTAGCTGGGCATGGTGGCACGTTCCTGTAAATCCCAGCTACTCAGGAGGCGGAGGCAGGAGAATTGCCTAAGCCCATGAGGCGGAGGTTGCGGTGAGCCGAGATCGCGCCATTGCACTCCAGCCTGGGTAACAAGAAGCAAACCCCGTTCTAAAAAAAAAAAAAAAAAAAGTATCTGGGTGTGGTGGTGCACTTGGTCCTAGCTACTAAGGAGGCTAAGGTGAGAGAATCACTTGAGCCCAGGAGATTGAGGTTGCAGTGAGTGGTGATTGTGCCACTGCACTCCAGCCTGGGCAACAGAGCAAGATCCTTCTCAGGAAAAAAAAATCCTAGTACTTTGGGTGGCCAAGGTGGGAGGACTGTTTGAGCCCAGGAGTTTGAGACCAGCCTGAGCAAAATTTGGCCAAGGTGGAAGGATCATTTGAGCCCAGGAATTTGAGCCCCCTTCCCCTCAACAAGGCATTGCTTATTCCTGAGGAATCTACCCCCAGGAGATCTAAAAGCAGCTTGGGCAAAGTTTTGAGACCCTGTCTCTAAAAAAATATTTTTTAAAAATTAGTAGGACATGGTGGCACTTGCCTATAGTCCCAGCTACTTGGCTGGGGGGAGGGGCGGGAGAATCTCTTAAGCCTATGAGTTTGAGGCTGCAGTAAGTTTTTTTTTTGGTTTTTTTTTTTTTTTTGAGACGGAGTTTCGCTCTTGTTATCCAGGCTGGAGTGCAATGGCGCGATCTCGGCTCACCGCAACCTCCGCCTCCCGGGTTCAGGCAATTCTCCTGCCTCAGCCTCCTGAGTAGCTGGGATTACAGGCACATGCCACCATGCCCAGCTGAATTTTTGTATGTTTAGTAGAGACGGGGTTTCACCATGTTGACCAGGATGGTCTCGATCTCTTGACCTCGTGATCCACTCGCCTCGGCCTCCCAAAGTGCTGGGATTACAGGCTTGAGCCACCGCGCCCGGCCCTAGGCTGCAGTAAGTTATAATCAGGCCACTGCACTCCCATCCTGGGTGACAGAATGATACCCTGTATCTAAAAAAATATTATTTTATTGGATAATTGGAAGGACGAATGAGATAAAACATGTCAAATCTTGAATTCAGAAAGAAATTGGGCCGCAAAGGCAAGTCATAATAAAAGAGAACAAGTTGGTGTGTGCCTGTAGTTCCAGCTATTCAGGAGGCTGAGCAGGGGCTCACTTGAGTCCAGGAGTTCCAGATTGTAGTGTGCCATCTTTGCGCCTGTGAGTAGCCATTGTACTCTAGCCCTCCAGCCTGGGGGACCTAGCAAGACACAGTCTAAAAAAAAGAAGAAAAAAGAG